TTGGGCTGCATGTCACCACACCCGCACCCATACCCACACCCACACCCACACGCTGTCCCCCTTTCCCCTCTCACCTCCCAATGGGCCCCCGCGAGCTCCGCCCCGACCCACATCCCATACACACACACACTCTCTCTCTCCCACCTGCCACACTCCCTAGCTCCGGAATATCGTCCGCGGGTCCCCCCCGGGTATTCTCCGTACCGCTGTCCGCCACCTCACGATCGTGCCGTGCTACTTTTCATGCAGAAGCACATACAAACATACGCAAATAACTAAAACAAAAAACGCACGTTAAACAACTTGCCAATGTGGCCTCATGGGAGGTGACGGGACTTTGGGAAATAGCTACACGACAAAACACGTCAACAGCCGAGACAACGGCACGCAACGAGACAGACAGATAGATAGATTAACTGACTCACAGGCAGACAGACAGACAGACCGAACACACCAGGAACAATGACATGGCAATGACAGGGGCGCTGGACTGCAGGTCTCGGTGTGCCAACCGCCAAACTACCATCCAACTACTACCAGCTAACACATAAGCATCCCAGGGAAAAAGAGCGCTGTATGACCCACGGGTCCGTCCATTCCCACGCTGCTGCTTCCCCTGCCCTCTCCCGTCCCCACCTGCTCCGCGGACGCTTCGCTGGTAGTGGCGGGCGGTGTCCTTATGTCCGGTTGCGGTGGGCGTTGTGCTGTTCTATTGCCGACGTGGAGCGAGACGTTGGTTGAGTTTGTGTGCGCGTGGAAGAAAAGGGTTTTGTAAGGGGGTAGCGGAGGTTGGAGTTGGGCGAGAGGGAGGAGGGATGGTGGGTGCAAAGGTGCTGCCGGCGGGTATTAGTCCTGGTGGAGTTATGTGGCGGGTGGAGAGCAGTTTCCGGGACATGCCGCTTGCCTGCTGTTGGGGATGGGCGACGCTTATCATGCTCAGCGGCGTTGGAAAGCTGTTGGAGGAAGCGTCGACGGCCAGCGTGATAGACACGTGCAAGCATGTAGGCCAAAGTGGCGCGCGATGTTGCCAAAGCCTCCCATGGCCTGTGCATGCTGGATGTTCACAGCTAGTTACGAAAGCTTGATTTCTAGGGCGAGAGCGAGACATAGAACCCTAAAATATTGAGGGAATCGTACAACAGTCACTTTGAATACGATTAGGTGGTTTGCAGACCAACGACTTAGGCAGAAGATAACCCTAAGCAAGCCCAATTATACATGCGATCATAGCTTTGTTTACATGTAATCTTGACAGTACAGCTCTGGTATTTTCACATACAATGACATGATTTAGGTTCATGATGTAAGCATAGCACGAATGGCAACGGTCAAGCTGCTAGCTGCATTACAGCCGAACATGTGCGTGCCAATCAGAAGGTCTGTCTACGCAACTCTTCATGATGCCAGGCCTTCCATGCTGTGTGCTAGTCCACTTACTTCCGTAAACCGGCCACCACCACCCATCACCCTCAGGATGACACATACGTTGATCAATATATAGAAGCTACTCGTGAGGTTATCAGGCGGCTAGTGGGCCCCTTCCATGCACTGCAATATGCCACACATGCCACACAGGCCGCTGTTGGACGCACCATCACCACCCGCCCCACCGCCACCACCATCTTCAGGGCCAAGTCGGGCCGCCATCAGACGGTGAGTGGGTGGTTGGAAACGTTGGGCAGCCGTAGCAGAGTAGTGGCGCGGACAGGCAGCAGCAGCAATGTCCACATGAAGATTGCTGCTGTGGGTCCGTCGTTGTCTGAAGTCGCCGTTTCAAATCCAGGTGCCATTCTAATCCAGCTGCTCTCCCATTTCCGATTTCCCCCTTCCCCTTCCCCTCACCTTTCCCCTTCCCCTCACCTTTCCCTCTCTCCCTCTCTCTCTCTCTCTCTCTCTCTCTCTCTCTCTCTCTCTGCCGCTCCCTGACCGGCTTCCTTCCCCCTCCCCCCTTTCCCCCGTCCCGCTTGTCGTCGTCTACATCACTACACCGCTAAAAGAACTTGCCAGCGTTTCTGCAGGCAAGCAGGACAGCACATGCTTGTCCCACATAAGCCTGTTATGAAGAGGAGTTGAAAGGCCTTGCATACAAGCTAAGCTTCCTCTCTTGATTCAGGTTCAGAGCCGGGGCGATAGACTTGTCTCACGCCGACGAAGGATAGCATGAGGCTCGGAAACGCTTGGCTGAACCACATGCACCGTTGTGGTGTGGAAAAGCTCCCAAAAGCCTTACTAAGCTTGGCGCCGAAGTAGAAGCTTGGCTGCAGACATGATAGTGAGCAAAGGCAAAAGTTAGGATACCATTGTTCGACCCATGCTCGTAACAGCACTGCCCAAACAGGGGATTGAGAGCAAGCAACTGGTATGCAACTGTAGTAATTACTCAGCTTCACGAAACATATTTTCATTCATGCACGTCTGGTGGTCCTCAGACACAGAAGAACAATGTCATTTCTCTTCTTGCCTGACAAGTTGTTTTACTCTAAAAGAAAATCTTCCCTTAAGGCCTAAATAGTTATATTATCTGTAACATCTTTCAGGTCGGCAGTCTGCAAACCGCATTTTGACACTACAGGAAACCGCTTGTGCGCGGTTTTGCGGTTGTAGCAAGGTCAAGCCAGCCAGTACAATTTGGACTACTGGAGGAAAGGCAGGTGCAACTCAAGGAAAATGCACAAGGGACGGAAACGCATTTTTTGTCATCGTGACCTGTATGCGCCTCAGGCAGTGGGCATAGCTTGGCGGTCCAGTACATAACTAAAACACGGACACAGGCGGATAGAGAGAGCCCCTAGCTCGCGCACAACATAACATCCAGGATAACTCAAAGCAGCAGGTAAGCTAGCTGCGACTGTATGGTTAGGAGCACTGATGTTTTATTCCCCTGGTTTTATGGTAAGGTTGACTCATGAAATACAGCTTTCGCCTTTCCTCATTTACTAAGCATAGCCTGCCGCTACTCAAGGTGGAGTACGAGGCGCGGTAGCTGATTGTGGAAGGGGAGGGGGGAAAGGGGGGCGGAAGGAGGGGACCAGCAAGGAGGGGGATGCAGATTCAAGGAGTGCAGGGGAGTCACTGCTGCATAACCATGCTAGTGAACCCAACCAATAACATGCCACTTCTGACTTCGTGTTGTGTGTACACCACTTCCTCAATCCCTCCATCCCGCACACCCTCCCTAACTCCATCTGGTACCTAATAGATGTATCGGCAGTTATTCCTTATTGCCATATGTGAATGTTTCCTGCCCGCATCTATCTTCGGAGTTCGACTCCACCCCTTCTTTTCCCAGCCCCCCTCCCCCTCAGTTCTGCTTCTCTTTACTTGGCAGCAGCTTCACTCGTTCGTGGTTCATCTGCCCCACCATCACCACCCCTCTCCCTCCTTTCCCCCCCGTGTGCAGGAGGTCTAGGGTGAGGTGCCTCATCCCGACCGGTGAGAAGCTGGCGGACCAGCAGCAGCAGCAGGAGGCGGTGGACGGGCCAGACAGGCCCAGAGGCAGTGGCAGTGCCCAGGCTAGCTTCCGTGTGCCAGGAGTGAGTAGCATGGGCATGGGAGGTGAGGTGTGAGTGCATGGGTAAAATTTTCCCTCTCCCCAACCCTGGTCTCTGTCCCCATGCCGCCCTCCCCTACCCCCACATCACCCCCCTTACCCCTTCCCTGGAGGCCCAGATCTCGCTTCGTGTGGGTTTCCCTTCCCTTTCCTTTCACCTCCGTTCACCCCCCTCTGCAGGCCTCCTTCTGAGGACCTCCCTCTGCCAGCTCCTCCACCTCCCCACCCCCCTGCTGCTAGGGCCTGCTGCACAGCAGTGCACTCACTGGCAAAGCGGCGGTAGTACTGGTCGGCGCCGGTTAGGAACATGGTGGCCACCAAGAGGGTGCCAGCAAAGGCCTTGAGGGCAGGGGGCACATTGGCGAGCCCGTAACGGTGTATGGTGCTCTGCGGATCTGTGGCGAGGAGGATGGCTGCATCACGGGCCGCCTGCAACAAGAGGTGCTGTAGGGGCTTGAGGGCGGTTGGTGTGGCTATGGTGGCTATGCTGACCGCCTGGTTGGCCTGATGCTGTGTCTGCATGTCGCTGAGGTGCCAAACCAGCGCCGGGTTCTTGGCAAACTGGTGCATTGGGTAGCGCAGCAGTAGGTTGGCAGCCCAGGTATCCTCTGTCATGTGCGCTGGGCGGCAGCCGGCCAACCCGTTGGGGAAGGCGGACAGGCGCACCCATTTGGGCAGGTAATCACTGATGGGTGCCGCACCCCATCCCCCCATATTGCTGATGATGAGGCCGCTGCTGTGGAGCAGTGACAGAATGTGCTGCGGGTTGTGGTTGGCCATGTGGGCCATGTTGTAATTGATGGTGTTGGGTTGCAGCAATTCCACCTCAGTGATGCCAGCCATTGGTCCTGGAGGGTCCGGGTCAGCTGGAGGGATGGGGCACAACAAGTCACAGGGGCATGCGAATGAACCCAGGTGATGGCAAGTGAACAGGTACTGCATCAGGTTAAGTGGCGGCGCAGGCACAGCCGGTGGTGGTGTGGTTGGAGGCAGGGCGGCGACTTGACCAGGTGACATCACAGGGGGCACAATGTGGACATGGGGTCAGTCCGGTGGCTGCAGGAGAGATACAAGGCAGAGGGGGTCAGCAAGGGGCCAGCAGTCAGCAGACACATCAGCTGCACAGGGCGCATAGCGGTCAGCAGGGGCCGATAGGGTCACCCCTCATCAGGGTAGCTGCAGCCCTATTGCTGCAGATGGTGCAAAGAGGAGTGCTGCACATGCAGGTGTGGTGCAAGTGTGGCTGCCTGGAGCCCTCCCTGGCCCCACACCCCATGCCTGCCGGTGGTGTGAACCAGCGGCCTGAACTGACCACAGCCTGCCACTGGGGCCAGGTGCACAGGTGTGCATTTGCCAGCCATTGCAGTTGCACCGCGCCCCCCTCACCACTGCTGCCGCCACACCGGGCGCCGCTGCTGCCGCCACGCTGGGCGCCGCTGCTGCCTCCACGCTGGGTGCCGCTGCTGCTGCCACGCTGGGCGCCGCTGCTGCCTCCACGCGGGGTGCCGCTGCTGCCGCCACGCTGGGCGCCACTGCTGCCGCCACGCTGGGCGCCGCTGCTGCCGCCACGCTGGGCGCCGCTGCTGCCGCCACACTGGGCGCCGCTGCTGCCTCCACGCTGGGTGCCGCTGCTGCCTCCACGCTGGGCGCCGCTGCTGCCTCCACGCTGGGCGCCGCTGCTGCCGCCACGCTGGCCGCCACTGCTGCCGCCATGCTGGCCGCTGCTGCTGCCGCCACCGCTGCACCTGGGCTTCGGGCTTTCATAGGTCGCGGTCAGCACCTTGCTGATGCGACCACTGCTATGAAATGCAGCCATCTCTGGCGGGTAGGCATCCAGGAACTTCTGCTGATCCAGGATGGGGGCGTGACAGAGGATGTTGCGCAGCAACCTGTGGAACCAGCGAAGCCCAACCTTGACGTCAGTCTGAGCCCTGTCGTCCCGCTCAAAATTGGTCTTGCTGCCGCGGCTGTTGCAGCGGTGGTCCCGGACCTGCAGGTAGATGGAGCACCGGGGCCGTGATCGACGCAGTTGCATGGGAAGCAGGGATGTACATGCCAGTGGCATTGCGGCCCGGCCCTGTTGGCTGGCTGCAGTCCCCATGATGACTCCAGCTGTTCGGACAAGCATCATGCCTGGAATTCGACAGGTGCTGCACTCTGACCCCTTGTTCCGTTTGCCTGCCCTCTTGGTGCCTGGTTGGGTTGTCTTGGTCGCCCCTCTAACGGTCCTCTCTACACGGGAAAAAGCTCACAGCACGTGCTCCTCTGCATCCCCACACCTGCCCAGTTCGGCACGGCAAGGAACACTACTGTTGACCCGTGGGTGCTGCAGTAGTCCTGTGACCACTGCACGCGCTCTCCTAACACACCTCACATGCTCTCCTAACACCTCACAAGCTTGGTTGCTCATTGTCTGATTGGCCACCCTGCTTGCAACCCCGCTTTTCCCCTAGCCAGCGGCATGCACTGCCAACGGTTTCCTGGCTGCTTTGTTACCATTCCTCCTGTGTTTTGCAGGTGACCTTGACGCTGTCTGCAACTGTACCTTCCTAACCTCCTCCTCCTTTTCCTCCTGCTGTGGGTCAGGGTTCGACACCCCATACAGGGCCCGTAAGTTTTTGGCCTTTTTTCGGTATCCCCGTCAGGGCCCTTCGGACTTTTCCGTGGACCCCCTAAGGATTTTGGGGCGTGAAGCGTCCCGTACAGGGCCGCCCCCGGCTCCCGTAAGGATTTTGAGGATTTATAAGAGGCTGTACGGGGCCCTGTAAGGGAGAGGACGGACCATATAAAGGATAAGGCCACACACTTGGCAGACATAATTCATATTGCAATATTTAACTACACTTTTCATAATACTTTTATGCTTCTTAGCTTCTAGTCTGTAACATCCAGCGATGGCAGACAATGAAGTCAGTGCATGCGTTGTTTGCCAAGTCTTCCAAGATGCAAGGGAAATGGGAGGCGTTTGCGAAGGAGAATGGCTGCATGCGGCTTAAGTTCCCTGCTTTCAATGCCACCTGTTGGTTCAGCCGCATGGCGTGCATTGTTGTGCTTTGTGGAAACTCGCATACCTTACTGCGGTTTTTAGCAAAGTACAAGGGTGACTGGGCCAAGGGTGCCGGTGTGTACAGCAAGTTATCCGATGTGCAAATGCTGGCACGTTGTGTCCTCCGTGATTTGCTAGGGCCATGTGAGGAGCTTAGCAAGGCTTTCCAGTCTGATGAGCTGAAGGCTCATCAAATCTTCAATAGGGTTGAAGCCACGAAGCAGGAGCTGAGCAACAGAGGTGCAGAGCCTTTGCATGGCTCAGCGTTCTCGGTTTTCAGTTCTGCAGTGAGCAAGTCTTTGGTCTGGACTGTGGGTGGGAATGCCGTACAGTTGAAGGGGAAGGTGAACAAGAAGCAGCTACATGACATGGCCAGCACTTTCATAACACTAGTTCTGTCGTATTTGGATGAGCGCTTTGCTGATGCAGCTCTCCTGTGCTCTTTCTGCATTTTCGACTCTGCCACGTATCAAGGCATGTCAGACTCAGAGGGGGCTAAGTTTGGTGAGGGTGATCTGCTAGCATTGCTAAGCCACTTCTGCTCTGCTAAGAATCCACACCGCCTGTTCGAGGTTAAGCCTGATGAGTTGCCGAACGTTTTAAAGGAGTTCAATGTCATGAAGGCACGTCTTGCTTACTACATTTCGCTTGGCAGGGTGACTTGGGAGGCAGCGAGGGTGAGTTTGCGTGCTGAAGCCCATCTCCTTCGTATGATGTGTTTGGCTCAAGTCGCTACAATCTTGCCAACACAGACGGCATGCGTTGAGTGCGGATTTAGCCGGCATTGTATTATTGTGAATCGCCTGACGAACCGGCTAAAGCTGGAAACTGTTGATTCGCTGCTTCATGTGGGGATGTTGGGACCTGCTGCTGATACCGGGGTGAAGCCACTGATTGATCAGGCTGCTGAGATCTACTCGTGTAAGGGCTATACAGGCATTATTCACAAGTTGTTTTCTGACGTTAGCAAAATTAATTTGGATCCATATGGAGAGGATGATAATGAGGAGGTTGCGACCGACCCAGAGATTGAAGTACTTGTACAAGCAACATACCCCACTAGTGACGATGAGGCTTTTAGTGACAGTGACTACGAGACCGACGTAGAACGAGATACCGATGAGTCGTGCGTGGATGAGGATTTTGATGATGAGGAGGAGGACGAGAAAGAGGAGCAGAAGGGATGGGAGGCCACAGCAGCCAAGGCGCTTGGCTTTCACTGAGTGTGCCATGTCCCCGTGTGTAATGGTTCACGAGAAAATAACGATAATAATGATTTAGAGGGCAAAAAATGCAAAGCGTCACTTTCCACAGCGTTTCAGCCAAGGACAGTGCCCCTGTAAAGGTTTTGTGGGGATTATGGGGGCCCCCCTAAGGTTTTCGGCCGGTACAGGAGCCTGGTACAGGGGCCCCTCCGTAAGGAAAATTTGGGAGGTACAGGGGAGCCTGCAAGTTTCAGGAAGGTCACTGTCGAACCCTGCTGTGGGTCTCCTGGCCGGACTCGCCAATCTTGCAGTACA